GCCACCGCCACACCACCCGCCGCCTCCCGCTGACACCCACGCCGCCCGCCGGAGCCCGCGCCCCGCCTCGCCGGAGGTAGCCACCGCCGCCGCCGGCCGTTCGTCGTTTTTTTTTTCTCGGTTAACCGTTTGGTTTTTTAGAAACCTAGATCTGTTTTTTTAGAATAGATCGGTTCGGTTTTTCGGTCTAGTTATTTAGCGGACGTTCGTCCGTACATTCGTTATAATGAACGTTGTTCGTCGGTTAGTCGCAGACAGTGAACGTTCGTTCGTCAGCCTGTTTGTCTCGTTTTATTTTCCAGGGTTTATCCGCGATTATTTTCGATCACGATTTCTGCCGTGATCTTCGATCTAGTTTATCTTTTCGCTCGTTTATCCGAATTAGAACAAGCGCCTAGGTCTTCGTCTCGAAGCCCTATTTCTGTTTAACCAACTTGAACAAGATTTTGGTACTATAAAATTTGACTTTAGTCCAGATTAGTAAACGATTCTTGTTTCTTTCGTAGATTGAGTTTCGTTGCTCCGTTTGATTTGATTCTTTTTGCAAACCGGAGTTATTCAGTTGAACTTTCTGGTTAGATCTTCTTATTTGAGTTTTACCCATGCTTCTAGTTGAGTGCTTATGTATGTTATTGTTTGTTTGCGATAGAATACCCGGAGTGCGAAGCGTTCTACTACGAGTCTCTAGGTTTTGCGGATCATCAGCAAGGCAAGTAACACTTTGATCATACCTCTTTATTACCCTGTTTTTTTGCATTAGTCTCAATCCTCAAACATTGCATGGTTAGGATCTGAATAACATGTGGGTTTGGGAAGTAGATGATGAGGTAGAACCTATTGCCCTTTTATTATCAAACCTTTGGGAGTTACTTCTACGATTGCTCAAGATTGCTATGCTATGCTCGTAGACATGGATTTGTTGAGTGTATCCATGATAGATGTGAGAATTGTTAATTAATGGTTAACTTAAGGTGGCTACTTAAATACACATCTGGGTGGATTGGTTGAGGCACCCTGGAGTACCTAGTGGTTGTCAGGGCACCTGGAGAATCCAGTGTTGTCCTAGGATATCCCGGAGTACCCGTGTGACTACCCTACGGTCCGCCACCCAGGCTCAAAGGGATCATAAGATTATTCATGTTAGAAACTTCCATGTGCAGCCACAAGCTATTATGGGCTCTAGCATAGTTGAGTAGGTTGCATGACCTCTTTCAGTGGTGGGCTAGCAGATGTAGGGGAAAGTAGGTGTAACTGTCCATCCAGAGTAAAGAGTCAATGTTTCTGAAAGACTGTGTCTCGGTCATCCGTTTCTCAGACACCATGTAGTGCGAGAAATCTAATGGAGGAGATCGAGTCTTGTGGGGAAAAGTGTGCAAACCTATGCAGAGTGTACAAACTAATTATGGTTAGCCGTGTCCCCGGTTATGGACATCTTGAGTATCTGGTTCTTGGATTATCATGTTGATCTCATCACTTTAAATTAATTTATTGGGTATAATTGATATTGCTTAATTGAGATTGAGTTGGAGAAACATTCTCAATGTTTAACAACCACCATGATAGTTAAATAAAATCTATTCCTTTGTTATAGGGAAAAAATAGCTTATTGCAAAAAAAATAACCATAGAGCTTTTCACCAGTCATATATGCATGTAGTGATAGCATTTATTATGTTCATTACTCTCTTGTGTTATATTGCCAGCATATTCCATGTGCTGACCTGTTTCGGGCTACAACATATCATGTTGCAGACTTTTCAGACGACGAGTAAGGTGCCATAGGTCGTTGTCGTTCACTCAGCTATGCCGTTGGAGTTGATGGACTCACTTTATCTTCCAAGCCTCCCGTTGTTATCTTATTTAGATGGCCTTAAGCCATAGTATTGTAATAAGTTCTCTTTTGAGACATTCGATGTAATAAGTGTGTGATTGAGACTCTGTTATAAATCCTCAAGTACTGTGCGTGTCAGCATTACCGATCCAGGAATGACACTGATGCACAGAGACTAGACTGTTTGAGGTCTGGTCGCTACACGGGCACTTAAGGTTCCCTCATCATGTCATCCGGAACCGTGGGTTTGTGGATTTATTCCCCGGTCTTCGTGGGTCGTCGACCAAATGTGCTTCTGTTTCTCATAGTCTCGACTCTTTTGACATTCAATTGCTAAAAGCAAGTATATCCGTCAACTTTTGAAAGTTTACCCTAAAAGAACTTTTCAAAAGTTGATACGGCGAAACTCAGCCGTTAATAACAATTAACATGAAAAGTTGCTGTTTTTTAATACGTCAAAGATGGTATCTGAAGATTTGGGTTGAAAAGGCAGGCTTCTTCTACTTGCCGAACGTATATTGCATTTCAGATCGTTCTTCCAAATTATCCCCTCTGTAAAGAAATATAAGATCGTTTAGATCACTAATGTAGAGAGAGTACCTTTTACACGATTGATGACTCAGATAACATAACAGACGAGACAGGCAAAGCAGAAACCGAACCAGGTGCAAGTTATGAGTTTCTGCCTCATCCGGTGCTGGTGTACCTACTTATTTTGCTTCAGTGATGGAAGCATGCGCCAAAATTTTGCATATAACTGGAGTACCTGCTAATTTTGCAGTACATCTACCGTCCAATTAATGTGATTTTCTGATGCAGATTTACAAGTCACAGCGTACACTTCCAGACTGTTGAGTGAACATGCATCTTCTCAACGAGAACGAAGAAATAATGTTAAAAAACGCCTTGAGGCTTCAGAGATGCTTTGGTAAGCTACCAACAGATTTTATTTTTTTTTTGAAATTTTCGGCTTCACAGATGTTCACATGCTGTTCTTTAATCATCCAGAAAACTTGTCAATTGACAGCAACCCTGTGCCTGCTTCTGTGAGACCATTTGTACACACATGCACATTTCTTGAAACCTCTCCAGTTTTTATGCAAAAGGAACATCATGTTGTGTTTTTGGTAGCATTAGTAGTACATAAGAATGGTACCATTTCAAGAAACGAAGGTCACAGTCAATGCAAATGTAGACAAAAACCTTACATAACTAGTCCAGCAAAAAGCAAGCCGAAGCAGCAAAAGGATTCAGTGAGATGTTCTTTGGCAAAATGAGAGCTGTTACTGTGTGAAGGGTGCAACGGGATTTACAAGTCTCTGGCAATCTTCTTTGATAGATAAATGAGCTGTGAATCCGTAGATTTCTGTCTCAAAATTCCAACACAGAAGTTATATAACTTAAGCGCAATATATTCGCCACATGATTCAGATGTAAAAACTGACTATCGCAATTCTGCATGTTTGACGTAGTAACACAAAACGTTAGATACATGGATGCTGAAACAAGGTAAGAGAGAACAGACCATGAGAGGCATTCTCTTGCTGTTTTAAGGAGTCAAGCATACTAACAAAGATTCACTTGACTGATATTTGGTTATTATTACCAGTCAACAGCAAGTCCAAATGACACCCATGCTCCCACAAAAATCTTCCATGAACAACCATACCCCTCCAAGCAAGCTTAAATTGTACTCCCTCCGTCCAAAAATACTTGTCATCAAAATAGATAAAAAGAGATGTATCTAGAACTAAAATACGTCTAGATCCATCCCTTTTTATCCATTTTGATGACAAGTATTTCCGGACGGAGGGAGTACTATGCTTCTATGTGGTTCAAACCTCAGCCAACAGTTTATAAGATATGATTATATAACTGAAACTCGTATCACAGAATGGAATGAAACACTCAAGCATCTATGACCGTAGCAAGTTCTGAAAGTTCCGATACTTCAGAAGAATGTGAACCGGCTTTCATCTCCTTCTTGCTTGTTTTCTTATTGCCTTTCAGCTTATTCGTCATGCTATCTGCCCGTGAGACGACTTTTGAAACTGAGAATCCTGTTTCCTCAAAAATCGATGCCCTCTCATGGACAAGGGAGCTCCTGGGGACAACATCAACACCATCATATGTCCATAACCCTAATACTGCCTCTCCTTTCAGCCCAATTCCGTACCAGCCAAGACCTGAAATGGCTATATCCATAGTATTTGCATCCCAACTATTTCCAGAAACTTTGAATTGTTTCCTCACCCATTTCCCAAGCTCTTTCACTCGTTTCTGGCCTATAGGGGGCTGCACATATCACACCAAGCAGCAAGTTATTTTATGATGTACATGAATTAGGATAAAAACAACATCTTTTTAAGGATGAGATAGAAGATACCTGCAGTTGTAAGCCAAAGTGATCTTTCATCATAGACTCTGCATTTTCGGTCTTCCCCATGTGAAGTGGCACAAGTGGTGATGCCCAAACTGTAACATAGATTGATCCTACAGTCAAGTCTTCCACATCCAGGCGCACTAGCCCTCCTATATGTATGGACTGCCCTGCCTGAAAAGGTTGTAAACAAAACGAATTAGAAATATAAGAACCTGTCACACAGGTGATTCTTATCGAAAGACTATTCATGTCATTTCGGATTGAAGCAGACATGTGATATATATAGTCAAAAGTCTAAGAACTGAACTTTCTAAGCACACTCAGGGTGTTAATTCCCCAATCCAGTATATCATCACACATTTGTCAACTTCAGTTTCAGACTAACAAAATATGGTTACTGTTTAAAGGGTGAATTAACTACCCCCTCCCAACCATTCACAATTGCTTAATGAAAAGAAATACGGGCGACCAAGGGTATGAGGAAACAAGCAGCGAAGCTGTCCCCATATCACCTAATCACAAAATTCACTGACAAAATGTGCATAAGATGGACGGAATGAGACCTTTATTCTGTATGTTCTGGGTCGCATCTCCTTCCTCACTTGAACAAGCTTCTGCTCCTCGGGTGTAAGTCTGGACGTCAGCTGGTGTCCATGAAGCAGGCCCGGAGTATCAAACAGCTTGGCCTGAGCACCAAGAACGCCATCCACCCGGATCACCCCGAGGGTTGTTCCCGGAACAGGCGCCTCTGTCAAGGTTTGCCCGCTCTCTGCCCCAGAGCACCGAGCAATGGCATTCAGCAGCGTCGATTTGCCCACATTCCGCGCGCCAACAGCCCAGACCTTGCCGCGCGCCCCGGCGAGCTCGCGCACGTGGTTGAGCAGGTCGCGCACCCCCCACCCTCGCGCCGCGCTGACAAGGTGAACGCCGGCCAGCTGCAGGTCCGCGCCAGCACCGGCGCGCGCGCGGGCCTGCGCCCACGCGTGCACGTCGTCGGGGGAAAGCGACGGCGTCGGGAGCAAGTCGAGCTTGGTGACCACGAGCACTGCGCGGGGGAGGTTAGACGGCGCACCACGCTTCCAGTCCGCGTGGTGGGCCTCGCTGGTGACGGCGACCAGGCGCGCCACGGCGCGCGGAAAGGAGCCGTCGAAGTCCGACGCGTCCGCGAGGAGCAGCACCAGCGACCTGGCCCCCGAGGGCGACGCGAGGCGCGGGCCGACGGCGGCCACGAAGTCGAAGTCCGGGAGCAGGACCTCGGCGTCGGGGCGCTTGACGTGGCCGTAGTGGCGCAGCGAGTGGCACCGAGCACACACCACCACCTTGCTCTTCTTCTCGGCCTCCGCCTCCGCTGCCGCCGCCACCACCGCGACCGCCCCGCCCTCCCGTGAGTTCTCTTGGCCCTCCTGGAGGAGCCCGCTTTTCAGGGAGGCCGAGATGCCGGTGTCGTCGGCGGTGACGGGCGCGAGGCGCGCGCGGTAGTCGGGAGACTTGGGGGATGGGAGGTTGAAGAAGCCGGGGAGGGCCGGGTCGGCGGACTGCATGGCGATGCCGCAACCCGGGCACTTGCCATTGGTACAGACGGCTGGGAGGTCAGAAGACACCACCGCCGGAGGGGAAGACACCGGCGCCGGTGGGGACGAGAGGTGGCGGCGCAGGAGGGGGAAGGGTTTAGGGATTTGGGAGCCAGTTAGGATGTGTTGTGTGGGAAGAGGGTGAGGAGACGAGGGTGCAGCGGTTGCACGGAGGAGGCAGCGGATGGCGGGGTGGAGGCGCCGGGCGCGGGATAGCATCTTGCCGTGTCGCCGCCGCCGCCGCCAATTCGTGACCGGCGGTGGGTGTTGGACGTCTCAGCGGGGAGGAGTTAACAGAAGCTGGGCTTTCAGCCTTGTGAGGTAGCATGTGGGCCTTTAACGGGCCAGCAACACCGCGCAGGCCCCATCTTATTATTCCGAGCAGGCAAGCCCATATCTCAAAACCTCATCTCTCTGCTCCGACGCCGTCAGCAGGCCCTTTCTCGCCCCAAACTCCGGCGACGATCCACGCCTCGCGCTAGGGTTCTACAGAGGAGTTGTTGTGTGGCGATGGCGTTGACCAACTTGATCCTGACGGTGGTGGGCGTGGGCGCGGCGGTGATGCTGCTGCGGAAGGACGTGAAGCAGTCGTCCGCCGTCTTCCGCCGCAACATTCGCCACATCAAGACCTGGCTCGAGGAGGAGTCCACCGCCACCACGTACGCTCTCCGCCCCCTCCCTTGCTTGCACTAGTCGATTGTTCTCTGAGTCAATTGCAGTGGAGCTGGAGGAATCGGGATCATCGGCTTAGATCTTACTTAGTAGTATCAGATTGCTTTGCTCTTTGTGAAATTACAATATGATGTGTTCTCATCCGAGGTAGCTCAGGGTTGTTATATTCAACGGATTGAAAAATCATAGATCTACGTATTTTTCAATTAGGTTATCCCTGCATCGCAGCGAGAGATAGATATGGTGTAGATTCATATCCCCCATTTGGCCTGTTTGGTATAAATTCTTTATCGTGTTTGTCTAGTACTGGAAATTATCATCAGTGGTTTTCTAGTGCTGGAATTATCATTCCAGGCTTGATTCATTGGCGACAAGTAGTTCCCTCACTAGAAGATATAATCTTCAGTTTTGTTTCCACCTGCTTGGCCAGTCTCAACTTTTATAGAGGACCCGAATTCTGCACACGGTTATGTGCAAAGCTTGTGCCCAAATATGACTGCATGTGACTTCGTCAAAAAGGAAAATTGAACCTCTGAATGCATACTATTCACTACTCATGTTGTGCCGAAAAAAACTTAGGGCGCAGAAAATGTATGGTCATTATTTTGTACCATAATTTTCATGTGTACACTTTATAGCATGATGAACATCCATGAATTTTGTTTCTTCAAAACACACCCCTTTGGAGTTTGGAGTGAGCGCAGAGGAGAGAGAATGGTGATTACGCACAAAACCATTTCACTATGGAAATTACCCCTTTTGTAGATTTAATGTTGCATGATAGTGTAAGCTTTCTTTCAGATTTAGGTTTCTGCCTTTCAAGTTATAAACTTAGTATTTCAATATCTTGGCCCAGCACCTTATGTCACTCTGGAGCCTTACAGGCCCTTCCATCCTTTGCTGACAACATATTCATCATTTCATTCATGATAACACATTTTAGCTGAAAGCCTGAAATATTGCGAATTATTTAATTAATACCACCAATAATGGTTGTGGTTAATATTGAGCTCAGGCTTGTAACAAATTTCACCTCCAGTTTAGATGCTAGCCTGGTTTCTTTTGTAGCTTTCTTTGTGCTTTTATTTCTTCCTTTGTGAAGAGGCTATAATTAACACACTTGTGTTAAATGATTATGAACTTTATTTAGCTTTATCAAAAACTAGTCATAAAGGATTACACATGCTAGGCTAGCCACCTCAACTTCTTCTCGATACCTAAAATCATGTGCCTATTGCCTATTGGCAATGCCAAAGAGAGCCAACTTGTCCCCAAGTTCCACACCTTGGTTTTTCATTCCTTCTTTTCTTGCCCTTCTTTTCCATGCTGTGCATTGGTTCCTGATGTGAAGGCTTAACCATATTGATTGGCATCGCATCAGTTTAAGAGAGGGCTAGGCAGGAATTGCTCTTGCCAATTGTTCTTGTACAATTCAATTTATCAGTGCTCTAACTAGCCTTTATCCACTGAGTTTGATAAAAAAAAGTTCTACTAATCTCATGTTCCAAAATGGCATTAGCAGCACTTGCTAGTCTTTCACCTTTGCACTATGTCCCAGTGGTTTGAAACTGCAAATTATGTTTGACATCACATTTCTACAAAGCTCCCTTTCGAAGATAACATTAAATTTTATTAATTCCATTCTATAATACCGTGGTTGGATTGGTTTCTATTTCCTTTGTTTTATTCAAGGCTTCATACTATGGTAAAGTCAACACAGCATATTTGATCTGATCCCCACCTACTATATCTTTGATCTCCACAGATCTGCTGAGCGATCGGTACCCAAGGAGCTGGAGTCCCAGGCTGCCAAGAAGGATTCCACACCCAAAGTGGACAAGGATTAGATGATTTTACACTGTTTCTATTCGATGCAACTGCGGGTTTAGGATTCACAAGAAGTACTTGTAAATAGAAGATGTTTGGTAGGATCTTCACTCTAAAGAATATTGCAATCAAATAATTTGGGCATGTATGGGTAGCTGCATGTGGGTTCTATATGTCTTCAGGTTGGTCTGAAGATTTGAGTGCATTTTTATATTTCTGTCTGGTAAGATATTTTACTGAAACTCTACGGTTGAGATCAATCACCATGCAACTATCGTCTTGATATAGGTTTTGTCTGGCAGTAATTTGTTAGCCACTTATGTTTTTTATGGCACCATTCACCCCCATTGTTTTTATGAAATTAGCGTGTGTGTTTTCTTCATGTATGTGGTATTTACGTTAGAAACATGTTTGAAATTATTACATATCAAGTGCTTCTTGTCAATCTTGTTTTTTCTTCCCCACTAATCTTTGTAATGCACGTATGTTGTTCGCATTATTGTCTCGAGTTACAACAAATAAATTGACTGCAGAATTTCAAGTTACAACAAATAAAAGAATGCAGGATGTTGCCTGCATCTGATTGATGATTACTGTAGAATCCTATGTTACAACAAATAAATTGACTGTAGACTTTCAAGTTACATGCAACAAATAAAAAGATTGTGCTTACAAGAAAGGAACACGGCATGCAGTGCATACAAGCCAAGCCAAAATGCCTATGTACAGGAGTGCAAGCCAATAAAAAGGAAACCCACTAGAAGCAATCTGGACAAACCAACAACCGAAAGCCTATGTACACGAGAGCAAGCAACTCAAAAAGGCCAGCTCTCCCTTTTTTTAAACCAAACACGCGAAGCAATCCTCTCTAAAGAAAATAAAAAATTAAGCAATGAACATGTGAATCAATGGTGGAGCAGACCGGCTGCTGTGCCGGCGGCGACGTCCATGACAGCAAGTCAATCCTGAGTTGGTCTGAACTTTCAACGATCACGTGAGCCAATCACGGAAGCGGAACGAGCAGACCAACCAACCATCGGTGCGATGCGAGCGACGGTATCATTCTGGTGCGGCAGGCGGCTGGCCGCCGGCGGCGCGGCGCTTGAGCATCTGGGTGTAGTTGAAGATGGACTTGAGGCGCTGCTGCCTGAGGTCCTCCTTGAACCCCTGGATGAACTCCTCCGCCTTGGCGTCCACCTCGGACCCCGCCGCCTCCTCCTCCGTCGGCGCCGCCCGCTGCCGCCCCGCCAGGGCGAGCGCGTACGCCTCGTCCATGCTCATCGAATTCTCGTCTTCCACGACGTCCTCTTTTGCGGATCTAGCCGGCTCGGCCGTCGCGTGTGGGCGTGGTAGACGGGGCGTCGATGGCGACCTCGTCTTCGGCGTCCCCGCGTCCTCTGTTTCGTGGAAGATGGCCGCGGCGGCACCCGGGCTAGGCTCCGCGGTGTGGAAGGACGAGGACGGGAAGGAGAAGATGCTGAAGGACCGGATGCGCTGCAGCACCGCCGACGAGGCCCTGCGCGTGATCCCGCCCCCGCTCCCGGCGCGGCGCGGCGAGGGCGACCGCGGCTGCTCTCGCGACGACAGGGCGAAGATGGCGCCCACGACGAGGTTGAGGGCCACGAACCACGCCGCGCCGGAGCCCATCCACGCCGGCAGCGGCCAGCACCACTCCGTTCCAGCCATCGGCGCCCGCTCTCGCTTCGGCGCTGCTCACCAGCTCGCGTGTTTCTTGTGCGTTGCTCTCTCCTTGGGCTCGCTGAAAGCTCGACAGACGAGATGATAAAGGAGCTTTGTCGCCTGTTGCGAGTGGCGCCGATGGCGATGGTATATATATAGCGCGCGGGATTAGCCCGGGTTTACGGTGGAAAAGGGAGATTAGGTTACGGAATCGTGGGTCTCGGGCTCATCTCGGCCGTGAACAGAAACGGTCAGACGGAGAGGCCGGGCATGCCTTCCATGTGCGGCTTGGCTTGCTGTCCTGTCAGTGAGTTAATCAGCATTAATCTCTTGCCCGCCTGGATAAGCACCCTGGCCCTGTTCGTTTGTTTGGCACCGCCGGCAGCTGTAAACACCAGAGACTTTTCTTGGCATCATTTGACGGGAGTTCGGAACTTGCTTTCATAGGAGTAGTTAACAGTGGGAACCATGCAAATGTGAAGCTCGTGTCGTCATTTCATTTCAAAAGAGAGATGGAGTACTCAAAATAGTCTTCACTCCTACTTGTACCTGGAATTGGCAAACCACGAGACGAGAGCTGGATTCCGCCGTCAGCCAGCCAACTCCGGACGTACGGAACCTTCGTTTATAAATCACACAAAGGCATTCAACGAAGACCAGCCCCAAACAAACCTTTCCCCCGCTTTAAAAAAAAAGTTTCCCCCGCTTTATATGTTATAAAGCAACGAACCAAGCATCCAACATAACAGTACAGAATACAATCAAGTCAAAGTCGCGCTGGGGGCACAGCAAGACAAGCCCAAACAAAGCTAAAAAGAAGCTAATCCGGCTCGGGAGGTGGTGATGGTGGTGGCGGAGGAGGCGCAAATGCCGACGCCGAAGAACGAAGACCAGCTATGATGAAGTCGATGGCGTCCCGGTCTCTCCGCTTGCTAAGCGGTTTCCAAAGCTGTAAGAGACCACACATTTTGTAGATCGCATCAATCACACGGCAAGGAATCACGCGTTCTATGACTAGTTTATTACGGTTACACCAGAGGGTCCACGCTAGGGTACCCTAAGCCACCCACATAGGGGGGGGGCTAGGACCAGGAGCCGAAGAACCTCCCCAAATAAGTCCGGGAGGTTGTCGTGGCACCAATTGCCACCAACCATCTCCCGGAAGCAGCTCCATAGGAACTGCGCCACAGGGCATCGAAAGAAGATGTGGTTACAATCTTCCGATACCAAACAAATGGGGCAGAGGCCATCCCCAGGGCCATTACGTTTGCGGACCTCCGTACCCGAAGGTGGCTGCCCGCGAAGGTACTTCGCGTGGATAATCTCAAGCCACAGGCCGCCCTCAGCGGTCTGAATCCGCCAAAGCCATTTGGAGAGGAGGGCAATATTCATCTGCTTGGACGAAATAACCCCAAGGCCTCCTTGGTCTTTAGGTTTATAGATCTCAGACCACTTTACCATGTGGTATTTCTATTTATTGTTCTCCAGTCCAGAAGAATCTGGAGAGGAGTTTGGTGACCTCATAATGAAGGGATTCATGCAGACTATAGAATCCCATGACATACATCAATAGGCTAATAAGGGAGGAGTTCATCAGAATCACTCGAGCGGCTTTAGATAGCCATCTCCCCTGCCAGGGCTCCATCCTAGGCTGGAGCTTGGCGATTATTGGACGAAAGTCCTTCTCTAGCAAACGTGTGTCACTAAGTGGCATACTGTTCCCAAACGACAATTCAAGCGGTTGGCAATTCGCTGAGCTTCAGGCTGGGAGTAACCCAGGACCATCACCTCACTCCTGGCGAAGTTAATTGTGAGGCCCGACATTTCCTGGAAGCAAAGAGGAGGAACTTGAGGTTCTAAATATCCTCATCCGATCCTTCCACCATCATAATGGTGTCGTCAGCATACTGGAGGTGGGTCAGACCTCCATTGGCCACCAGATGGGGGCAAATCCCCCTAATATGGCCGGCGCGCTTGGCCAAGTCAAGGATCGAGGCGAGGGCATCAACCACAAGGTTGAATAGAAATGGGGATATCGGGTCTCCCTGTCGGACCCCTTAGCCCATCAAGAAGTATGGTCCAACCTCCCCATTTATGTTTACTGTTGTCCGACCACTCATGACCAACTGCATCACGCGAGCAACCCAGTGGTCGTCAAATCCACGTTTGAGCAACACTTCCCGAAGGAAGGATCAGTGGACGGTGGCATAAGCTTTATGGAAGTCAATCTTGAAGAACACCGCGCGGATGTGTTGTGTCTTAACCTCATGGATCACCTCATGAAGGGCGAGGATCCCGTCGAGAATATATCTGCCTTTCGTGAAGGCCGATTGGTTTGGACGATGAATCCGAGGAGCGATTAAGGCCGCCCTAGTGGCGTACCCTTTCACCAGAATCCTAAATATCACATTGAGGACTGTGATAGGGCAAAATTGCCTAATATCCGTTGCACCCGACACCTTGGGGATCAGGGAGATGATCCCATAGTTAAGTCGGGACATGTCCAATGTTCCCCTAGAGAACTCACGGAATAGTTCAAGGATGATCTCCTTGACCATTGGCCAAAAAGCCTGAAAAAAACGGACAGGTAATCCATCGGGGCCTGGTGCCGAGGCCAGATTCATGGCTTTGACAAAGGCCTCAACTTCTGTTGCATCAAATGGGGTGAGCAAGGCTGCATTTTCTTCCGGGGAGATCTGTTGTTCGGGCGACCAAATATGGTCAGCAAGGACGATACCACTCCGTGGGCGCCCCTAAAATAGCGACTTATAAAAGTCGTCAACCACCAAGCGGATTGCCTGGGGGTCCAGGAACAGCTGCCGCCCTCCCATAAGAGGGGAATGGAGCAGTGTCGCCTACGGCCATTAGCAATGGCCTGGAAGTAAGCAGTGTTGTCATCCCCAAACAACACCCAGTTCATAGAGCCACGCTGACGCCAGAATTCCTCCTCCTTGGAGTAGATCTCCATGAGAGAGTCTTCCAAATTGTACCTATGAGCCCATTCCTCCGTGGAAATCCCGACAGTGTCTGCACGGAGGTCCAGGGCCCGGATCTCCTCAAGGAGGGAGGCCTTCTGGACCCAAAGATCCCGCCCTATATTAGCACCCCAACCTTTCATGAACTGCCTGGAGCGCTTGGACAGATGACGCCACTCGTCCAGGATCGACATCTGCCTATGGGGCTCGGCCCAGTGCCGAGACCCAGTGAGCCTGGACGGCAGCCACAAAGCCTGGCTGCCGAAGCCAGAAAGCCTCAAAACAGAACCACGAAGGTGGACGAGGTCTCTCATCCCTAGATGACAAGAGAAGGGGGACATGATCGGACCCGATGCGTGTGATCGCCTGGAGAGAGGCCAAAGGGAACCGGAGTTCCCAGTCTGGGGAAACAAACACACGGTCCATCACACTAAGGATCGGGGCAACCTGTCTATTGGTCCAGGTAAATCGTGCCCCGACCCTGTCCAGCTCAAGGAGACCCAGGTCCGCAACCCAGTCCTTGAAGCGACGAATCTCCTCATGGTCCACACGCGAGTTGCTCTTTTCCTCGAGAGAACGGAGGAGATTGAAATCTCCCCCAACAACCATGGGGAGGGTTGCGGAGGAGATCTTGGTGTGGAGCTCGGCTAGGAAACCGGCCGAGCGACTATGGTCAGCAGGTCCGTAAACCACAATGATCTACCACTTGAAGTTCATATCACGCTCCCACACCTCCATGCTAACGAAGTGGGCTCCACGCTCCATGGATCCCACCTCAAAGGTCGCATCCTTCACCCCTAGAAGGATGCCACCAGAGTGACCCATCACTCCACTAGATGGCAGCCAGTGTCATGCGAAAAGATGTATGCTAAGGCGCTCAAGTTCTACGAGAGAGAACTCACTGCGCATAGTTTCTTGAATCGCTGCCACATCTATGGACTCATCGCGCATGTATTGAATGAGCTGCCTGCGGTGGCCATCATGACCGAAGCCCCGCGGGTTCCAAAAAAGCGCGCACATGATCACTCGCCTAACGGGTCCTCCTGGGACCCTACAGTAGTCGTAGCACTAAGGGCATGGCGCAACTGGGCAGTACGAGAGCGTGTCCGACCACGGATCTCACCCGGATCGTTCACAAGCCGGTCCTGACCCCTAGCACGGAAGGCGTAGGGGGAAGGACCTCGGCAGCTACTGTCGCCTCGCGAGCCCTAGTGGCCGCGAGGTGGCCCTCCAGAACCTCCTTAGCCTGGAGGGACATAAGCTGCTCCAAAACCGGGCCCTTCTCGCCATGGAATACTATAGCCGAATCGGCTGCGACCTTGGCCAGATGGCCAAGGGGGACACCAGCAAAGGCGAAAAAGGAGTTGTCGCAAATATCATCAGAATCAAAACATGGAGCCTGAGAGTCGGACGGACCTGTGTCAAGGTTGCGGATGGCCGCGCGACGGGAGGCCTTCTCCACCGCCGTCGGCGAAGCCCCAGTCAGCTAGGGAGCCGCCTCGAGCCGAGCACTCTTCCGGGCAGACGATGCCAGAGTAGAGGCCGAGCGGTGGTGGCCCTGGGACTTGGGAGGCCTGGTCGACGTGGGAGGGGAGGCGGCGGCGAGGTTGGAATCCAGAAGCGCCGGCGCCAAAGGGTCCTCCCTGACGAGCATCGAAGATACCAGCCGTGGGGAGGACGGAGGCCGGACCTCCATGCTACCCCGGCTGTCTCCACTCCCTTCCTCCTCTGACAGGGACAACGGCGAAGGGAGGAAGGGGGGAGGGAGATGTTGGGGATCGTTGCAGAAATTAAAATTTTCTACGCATCACCAAGATCAATCTATGGAGAAACTAGCAACGAGAGAGAGGGGAGTGCATCTTCATACCCTTGAGATCTAGAGGGGGGCGGCGGCCAAGGGGAGGGGGCTTGCCCCCCAAGCCAAGGGGGGCGCCCCCTTTAGGGTCCCCCCCCCCACCGTAGGTGCATGGGCCCTAGGGGAGATGGCGCCCAGCCCACTTGGGGCTGGTTCCCTTCCACATACAGCCCATA